TCCCCCCTCCGTAAATATAGATATATTTACATATGTACATGCCTGTCTTTAGACCTCTATAAATGCCCTTTTGCCTCCTAGTTCTTTCCTCTATTTCCTTGGAAAGAAATTTGAGCTTCAGAAGTATTCAGCTTGCTTTGATTAAAAAAAAAATCTTTATCAATAGAAAGCCCCACACTTATTCTGCCATTATTTTTATTAGGCAAATAATTAGTTGAATTACCCAGCTCAGCCTTTTGTTGTTGTTGAGAAATGACTAGTCGACAATATTTTGAGTACTAGTTCAGCATGTTTTGACAAAGGATGGTGCATTAAAATGAAATCCATCATTAGCATGAAGGCTGACTGGCCCCTTGGGGTTGCCGTCTCTCGCTTGTCTTTTCCACCGTGCGAGTCGGCCTCTCTGCTTCCCGTGCATTGTCGTGGTTGGCAGATTGTGCCTGTGTTCAGCGGTCATAGTTCAGTTTCAGATAAATCATGCAGTCCAGTCGCTTAATCTCGAACAATCGCCGTTCCCCATTTATTCTTCCCCATTATCAGAGGTTCTTATCAACTTTCCCTTCAGTACTGTAATGGCCTTATATATTAAATTATGAAGTAATTTTCCAAGCCAGAATTGTATGGAATTATCTGCATGTCAGCCTACATGAAGATGAATCTGGGTGTTTGTGAATGGCCAAATGAGCAGTAACCTAAGTTCAAAGCAATGTTTAGGGCCGCGAGAAGCAAAGCACCCTGGGAAAGAGCGCACAGTGATTTAGACTGTGGCAAACTTTGACTCGAGGTGGGGAGAACTAGTAAAGCCCCGCTCATTTTAGCATAATTGTGAATAATGGAGGATTTAAAAGCGACCGTTTTCTGACCGTAAAGGTGATTCATGCAATGGAAGTGAATTCCCATGGGTGGACTGGCTGTCTAGGCAGTTTCGGGAACTTACTTTTCAGATATCAGGCTCGGGCGTTCCCTGTGTTGGCCTTACTTCTCCACATCTCGGCTTTTCTCCTCTGAAAAAGACTAATGGAAATAGGAGTCCTTCCCTCCTGCAGGATAACCCACTCACTGCC